CACTTGTCATAAGTTGCCAAGGCTATGGAAGCCTTTTGAGTTTGCCAATTCTGATCATATTTAGACAAGGTCATAGTCAAAGTGGAAGTTCTCTCCTCCCTTCAGAGAAAGGTACCTCCTTCTTTGATGGCCCGTTCTTTCTATTGGTATCTCTATTGCGTTTATTTTATTATCTTATTTATTATTCAAGTATTTGAAAAACTGAAATTCTTGTCACCATGAAATTTACACTCTAGTGCAACAAATAAAAAAAAAATTCATAAAGTACACTGGAAGGTAAAATGTACTTCAGAGAAAAACAAGGAAGGGCTTGCAATTTTATTTTATTTTTTCGCATGGCCCAGAGTTAAATGGTCAGCCATCTCAAATGGGAAAAATAAAGATATATTGGTGTTTTTTTAAAGCACTTGAAATTAGCACAAATAAAATAAAGATACACTTGCTGTACTTGGAAACATTTTGGTTTGAGATTATGCATGCTTTGGAATAAAAATTTTGCCTTATGAATGTGATGATCCGTGGATGAAAAATATTCACTAGGATGTGACTCTAATGCCAGGAAGGGAGCGAGCATCTGAAAAAAAAGTATAATAAAGACTCCATAGCTCTTTTCTTTGCTCTTTAGTTCCTCTATATAGCATATGTGTATGAACTGCAGGCATTTTATGGGTTCACTTTTAATTACATTTTATTTTAGCTGGCTTCAAATGGAATGTTCAGCTTTTAATACTTCTTGGTGTAGTTTCTATTTTTTAATTTATTTGAGAGGCAGATGCAGAGCAACAGTGAGAGAAGACAGACAGTGAGTTCTGCTCTGTGGCTTATCCCACCAAATGTCCACAATGGCTGGGATGGGACCAGACTGAATTCAGGAGCCAGGAACTCAGTCCAGGTAGCAGGAACCCAACCACTGGAGTCATCGCTATTGTCCCTCAAGGTCTGTCCAGCAAGAAGCTGGAGTCGGGAGCCAGAATCGGAGCCAGGCATTGAACCCAGGCACTTAGTTAATGAGACACAGGTATCCCAACTGGCATCTTAAGCACTGGACCAAATGCCTGCCCGTGCAATTTCAAATTAGGCTGGAGAAGGTCTTCAGACCACAATATACTACTTAGTTCAATGGTAGCTTAGTGCTCAATTTAGTATCTGGCATATAGTAGGTGCCCATCACATATTTGTAGAATGAATGATAGTTAAATAAGTGGCTTGGAAACAAAAGAATTGGAAGGAAAGAACTCAATGAGAATTTGATAGCTCTGAAAACTATCTTACATATTTGTTAAGTATAAATCACTTTGAGAAATCCAGTAAATATAAAATGTATAAATAATTACATTAGGATTACTGACATATCAACATGATTGAACAGAATTGATGTTTTCAATGAAAATACAATCTTTTACAAAAGTTCTTCTAATATAAATTTCAAAAGTATATTTGAAACAACTTCTTCACCCATTTTTGACACAAAAGTCTGCAGGGCAAGTATCCTAGAGAAATGTATGCCACAATGTTTCATAACAATGTTTAAAAACACAGAAAGCTGAAGGGAGGAGAGAACTTCCACTTTGACTATGACCTCGTCTAAATAAGATCAAAGTCGGCAAACTCAAAAGGCTTCCATAGCCTTGGCAGCTCATGACAAGAGCCTAGGGTGATTACTGGACACCATAAACAAGAGTGTCAATTGTTAAGTCAACAACAGGAGTCACTGTGCACTTACTCCCCTTGTAGGTTCTCTGTCCTTAATGTGTTGTTCAATGTGAATTAATGCTATAACTAGTATTCAAACAGTACTTTACCCTTTGTGTTTCTGTGTGGGTGCAAACTGTTGAAATCTTTACTTAGTATATACTAAATTGATCTTCTGTATATAAAGATAATTGAAAATGAATCTTGATGTGAATGGAAGGGGAGAGGGAGCAGGAGATGGGAAGGTTGCGGGTGGAAGGGAGGTTATGGGGGGGAAAAAGCCACTGTAATCCAAAAGCTGTATTTTGAAAATCTATATTTATTAAATAAAAGTTTAAAAAAAAAACACAGAGAAAGCTGGATGTAGTACATTAATTGTTACAAATAAACTAATATGACATGTTAACAAAAAACTATGTTAAGTAGCATATCTTTGTTAGGAAACAAACAACAGTAAGAGTGATTTTATTCCTTAAGTAATATTTGTTTTGAGATAAGACCTTTGCAGAATTAGAGAGTAACACGTGGACTATAAGTACTATTCAAATAACACAATAAAACAATAACTTAATGAAATGGTATGCCATGTCTTCTCCCTCACTTCTCTATCAGCACAGTCATTTTCATTTATAGCTGATGTTCATTTCCTTTTATAACACCAATGCAATTTGTTTCAATTTCTTCAATTGGTTCATTTTCTCAATATTATCCTTCTACTGAGCTAGTTATATATAACTTGAAAATACATGTAAAATTGATTGTGTGCTAATAACAGGTGACACTCAGTTTCTTTGAAATACTCTCACAGATGCACAATTGCAAAAGCAGATGAATTTCATGTACAGGCAAAGAATTAAGGGGCTGATTCTGATATGTATTATGTTTCAAAAGAGCAAGAAAATGAGCCTAATATGAATCATGCTTTAATTTTATTTCCCAAGAAAAGCTTTTCAAAATTGTCAATATTTATAAAAGTATTTAGTGAAAATTAAATATATATATATATATATAGCAAAACCTGTAACACATTTTATGTTACTTTCATAAGCATTATGGTAACTGTACTGAGTACATCTTCCTTTTGATTGACGTTCTGATGAGCAAAATCTTATGACTAATTAGAATGTCTGTTCAATTCAACAACTAATGTCTGCTTGAAAATTTCACAAACAAGCCTTTGGAAAGGTGCTGAAGCTCCAAATCAATCTGGCCCTTCCGGGTCAGGCATGACCAGAGACTGGATTTATGACAGTAGGCTGAAATTAACCACTGTGACTCCTATGCTGGAACCCAACCTTATTGGGTCCCTTATTGCCTGGCCAAACACCAACATGCCTCCAGCTCTATGCTTTGTCCCCTTCTGATTCCTTTTTTAAAGCCCTCCTGCTAGTCTGCAATTTGGGAAGAGCAAATTTGGGACTAAAGAAATCTGCCTTCCCCCCAAGAAGGCTAGGTTCTTTTGTTAAGATTTATTTTATTTATTTGAAAGGCAGAGGGAGAGAGACAGAGAGAAGGCTTCCAACCACTGGTTCACTCCCCAAATAGCCAATTCTGGGCCAGGATGAAGCCAGGAGCCAGGCATTCCAAATGGATCTCCTACACAGTTGGCAGGGCCAAGGCACTTGGGCCATCCTCTGCTGCTTGCTCAGGTGCATTAGCGGTGAACCAGATCAGAAGCAGAGCAACAGGGACTGGAACCAGCACTCAGATACTGGATGCTGAGGTTGCAAGAGGCAGTTTAATCCACTGCACCACAACGCCAACGCCAAAGCTACCTTCTTGAGTAAACTCACCCCTTGAATCAACTCTCGTTTGTCAAGTATTACTTTTTGAGTAGCGTGCACCCTGGGCCTAATTTTGTCTTGTAACATTATCATTTTTTTTATCTCCATACCATTCCAGTGTAAGAAAATGAACACCTATTATTTCTATTTTTTGCAGATAATAAAACTAAAATGTTTAGAGGAAATATGTTTTACACAAGGACATTCAGACTAAACTCTAAATCCTCCTAACTCCAAATTTTCTTCTCTTTATAACAATCAATTAAGTATCTTAAGCACTATTTCAAATTAGTCTTTCAATCTGTTTATCCTACAAATTCAGTCTTCCATTCTCATTGTGAACTTATAATCAATTTATTCGGGGAAGTAGACATGTTCATCATGAGTGGCCAGCTAAGTGCTCATTTTGTTTGGTAATTTAATATACAGGCTTGTGTCCTGCTTATTAATTTTCATAACATTCAAATACCATGACTTGACTTAAATCATTAAGTAGATGACTTCCTATTACACAGACACTCAATACATTAGTAATACAGAAAATGAACTCAGCATAAAAAATAGAAACAATGTAAGATATTAAAAAACATTTTTTCATGGCCTCGGGTTATTATAAAAAATATGCAACAGCTGGGTTTGGTGACTTAATGAGAAAGGCATGCACAGGACCAAGACTAGAAGCCTGGTGTGATTGAACAAAAATGTAAGTACTTTAGGAGACTATCACCTTTGATTTTACATAGCAGTTGTGAAAAACAAAAGTAATAAAGACATATAACATCTTTTTTAAAAATATTTTGCCATATGAATTCCTTAAAGTTCATTATTAATCAGTAGAATGCGCTAGTTCCTCCAAATCCTTAAGATCTTCTCTGTAAGCTACCGGGACTTTTATAAATGATGATTAATGGTAAGGAAAGAAAAATATTGGACTAGGAAATGGGTATCAGAGTAACAAAATCTGGCTAAATCCAGGTCATGCATTTCAGTGGGGGCAACATCATCCCCCAAGGAGGTGAGAATGGAACATGCAGTACATGCACCAGACATGGAAGACAAAATCCCAAACCAGAGCACTGTAGCTCAAGTAGAAGACACTTAGAGGACTGTTCTCACTAAATACCTGCTTTCCTTGTATGTAGTTTTATTCTATTAAAAACTTTTTTTTTTAATTTATTTTAGAGACAGATAATGCTCATCTGCTAATTCACTCCTCAAATATCCGCCAATGGTCACATAAGTGGCAAGAAATCAATTAGTTGAGCCATTGTTGCCACCTCTCAAGGTCTGTATAAGCAGGAAGCTGGAACCAGGAACCAAGAAGCAAACCTAGGTACTGAGATGTAGGCTGCAGGCCTCTAATCCAAACACCTGCTCCCTTGTACTATCTTTTTAACCAGATACAGACACTTATATGAACCTGGATCAGATTCTTGTCTGTACTCAGTTCTTCTTGTCAATCACCAGGCATTTTCATGTCTTATTTTGAAATTTTTCCTTTTTCTCCTATAATTTCTTCCTAAGATGTGCAGTGTGGACTCAGCTAAGAACACTCCCTGAAGCCACAGAAAAGTGTATATCAGTTGTGCTCAGCTACTCTTCAGAGGTATGTATGTCACAATGACCTTAGAAACACAAAAGACTGAACAGTCTGCTCTCTCACCACATTCCTGTTGAACACCTGGTACCTGAGCAAGACTCCCACTTTGGCATGTGTCCCAACTGCGGCTAGCCATGGTTTCCCACATGGGCTGAGCCACCAACTTCCCCAGAGGAGTCTTCAACTCCCAGGAAACTTGATGCTACATTTGGACCCAGAACCAAATAAGTAAGATGGAGGTGAGGGGTAGCATTCTGTGGAACACACTTTGGAATGTGCTCTTTCTTTGATATACATGTTAGTATTTCATTCAAAAATATTAAGATATTATCATTTAGGTATTTTTATTATGGTTACAAGCAGAAAAAATAAAAAACATTTTTAAAAAATTTATGAATTGTGTGTTCTGTTGGATTCTTCAGAACTATCCAAAAAGAAATCCCATTTTAAGGAACAAATGCTAGATAGAATTAAACCACAGAAACATCTAATCAGTGATGAAAGGGTGAATTTAATATATAAGAAGGCAAATGTGAAAGGGTACCTCCAAAAATGAAGGGAATGAATCAGAGAATGGAAGCGCTTTCTCTCTCTTTCTCACACACTCTCTCCCTTTCTTCCACTCTCTCTCCCCCTCCCCACCTCTTTCTCTCTCTCTCTCTCTCTGTCTCAAAAAATAAATATATACACACACATACATTTATATATATATAACTTGCTATAACATCTATGTACGTAGATAGATATCTGCCTTGCTCTCTAAAATGTATAAAAATCAGTTCTTATTTTTATATTTATGTATTTTCAACTTTCTACAACAGTGTCTGATATGTTATATCTGAAATATGTAAACATTACTTCATTAAACAACATTAAATTTGAGAAACATATAAGCTGAAAGTCTACAATCAATGTAACCAGACTTTCAGGATTATAAAAGGTCCTCCAACAAATCCATAATAAACACATTGAACTGGCAAATGAATTTATGGATAATCTAAATGCTTGTAAATAAAACCAGTTTAAAATTAACTTTATTCAGTAAGTACTACTCAAAGTGCAAATGCAAGTATAAATAAGAGGTTATATATATATATACATATATATATAGGCATATAAAAATATCTTCCAGGTTAACAACAAAGATATTTTTAAAAAATTAGTAGCCAATATTTTAGAGTGGGGGGATGGAAAGTTTTATATATCTACTGGTAAGAGAGTAAACAGTAATTAGAACATAAGGATAAATATTCTTGTGTTAGGCATTTAGCATATTCTTCTCATTTATCCTCCTGTATCCCTTCTGCACTAAAGCAAGCTAGTCAGTAGGTTTCCCAGACCCCTTGCCAGTTGATTTCAGGTTGGATTTTGCCATGGCATGTGGCAGCCACAAATGTGTGCTTAGATTTCTCAGAAGATCTCCCTGTGAAGAATAAAGTTGACTGAAGGCCTCCAGTTGTCCTTCTGTTGGATCCATTAGGTTCTCACCAAGCCACACCCTCTAGACTATTATCAGCCAATGACAGAAAGACAAATTGCCCATTATGGAACTTTTTTTTTCCTTCACATTAAGGGATTCCCTGTAATGACAACCTTCACTTAGGAATTCTGAGTTGGCCTAGGCAAGGCTTTCCCAAAGCTATGCTGAAATGTGAGGCTCCTCCCACTGGATCTCCATCCCTCCCTTCTCCTCTTTCACACGGGTCAGAGCCTGTGTAAGGTCTGAAGGCTCACCTCCCACTACTCTTGCACTCTCTCCCTTTGTATTTCCAAGGTGTTTCCCTAAGAAAACTTCTCACATGTTGAATTCTGTCTTCAAGTCTGTTTCTTGGAGGAAGGTGCTTATAAGAAAAGAAGACTGATGAAGGAAGTAGACGCCGATGTTCTTTCCTGTTTTTCACATCAGAAATACTAAGGTAGGACAGAATGGGTGAGCGTGGGCATCAGCAGCATTAGGAGAATCTGGAAGCACTGCCAATATTCAGCCTTCCAGGCTCTTGGAGTCTCAGGAGAGAACTGTTCTGGTTTCCAACTCATGCAACCCCAGCAGCTGCACACAATTGTGGACTCTGTGTAACACTGCTTTGCTTAGTTTTCCAAAGTTACAGGTGTCTGAGTTACAGGTGTCTGAGAATAGTATCACTATTCCCTATTTCCATGTCCAGCCCTATAAACACATTGTCTCCCGCAGTTCTGTATTGTAAACTCTCCTAGTATGAGTTCCATTTTCCTATTAAGTGTTGCATGACACACACTTTCCCAGTTTATTCTTTTTGACCTCAAATGTTTTCATTTGTATTAACTATTAAAAGAAATTAATATTAAATGTGAACAAAATTAATGCATGTGATTTTCATGTTAATATTAACAAATAAAAGGTCTCAGAGAAATTAAACAATGACAATTTTTGTGGAGAATTTTGGGTGCACTTCTAAAATGCTTTTTCATAACCCAATTAAACTGTGTGTTTCTGGGGACAAGTGTTTGGTCTAGTGGTGAAGATGCCAGTTCAGGTGTCTGCATCCTGTATCAGACAGCCTGGGTTCCATACACACCTCTGGATCCTTATTCCAGCTCCCTGCTGACGCAGACTCTGTGAGACAATGGTGTTGACTCAAGCAATTTGGTCCCTGGCACATTCATATTAGAGACCCGGATTAAGTTCTCAAATCCTTTATGTCAGCCTGGGCCAGTCCTGGCCATTGTGGGCATTCTGAGGAGTGATCCAGAGACAGATCTCTCTGTTTCTCTGCTTCTCAAATATATAAGTAAAAACTTTAAAAATAAATTTATGTTTATGGATAGTTTTTGCTTAATTTTTTTTATTTGAAAGGCAGAGAGATAGACAAATTTTCCATCTGCAGATTCATGTCCCCAAATGCCTACAACAGCTGGGAATGTGTCTGGCCAAAGCCAGGACTCCAGAACTCCAGAACTCAATCTTGGTCTCTCACATGGGAGGCAGGAACACAACTACTTGAGCCATCACCTGCTGCCTCCCAAGATGCAAATGAGTAGGAAGCCAGAATGGGAAGGGAAGCCAGTACTGGAACCCAAGCACTCTGACATGCAATGTGGATGCCCCAAGTGGCCTCTTTACCGCTGCTACAAATGCTCACTCTTTAACTGTTTTTAGATACATTAGATACTCATCATTTACTTCTGAATAGACTGCTACATGAAACAAAAAGGTAAAGTTAAATACGTTCTTATCATATCAACCATGAGTAACAGTCCTAGAAATATATCCTGGGGGAAATTTGCGTGTGTTAACCAAAATGCATATACAATCATGTCCAGGACAGTGTTTTCAAAGCAACCAACAACCTTAAAAACCCAAGTGTCCATCAATTTTACAAGAGAAAACCCTTCTCAGTATATTCATACAATGAATTACTATATGAAAACATGAATGAACTTGAAGAGAAAATGTTAAGAGTAATAAGCCATCTGCACTTTAAGTTGCCATTAGTATGATTCTTGTTTTACAAAATTAATAACTGGACAAAACAATGTTCTATTGTTTAGATGTACGGAGTCAGGAAAGTAGTAGGTCTATGGTTGTGAGGAGGTGAGAAACAGTAATCAGGGAGAGGCATAAGGGGCTTCGAGGGGCTGCTAATATTCTATCTCTTGTCCTGGTTAATAATTGAACAGTTAGAAGCCAGTGTTGTGGAATAGCAGGTTAAGCCATTAACAGTGATGCTGGCCTCTGGCCTCAGAATCAGCCCTAAAGGCACTCGGATCTGGCTGAAAAGCCCATGAGAGTATTTCAGGCATGGAAAGCCAAGACACTCTGGAAAAAAGATCTCTGTGAGTGAGATCCCAGTGGAAAGAACAGGTCTTCAAAGAGGGAGGTGCCTTTCTCTGAAGGGAGGAGAGAACCTCCACTTTGACTATGACCGTGTCTAAACAAGATAAGAGTCGGAGAACTCAAGAGGCTTCCATAGCCTTGGAAACTCATAACTGGTGCATAGGGAGATTACTGATGCCATAAACAGGAGTGTCAATTGGTAAAGTCAACAACAGGAGTCACTGTGCACTTACTCCTCATGTAGGATCTCGGTCCTTAACGTGCTGTACACTGAGGCTTAATGCTATAACGAGTACTCAAACAGTATATTTCACTTTGTGTTTCTATGGGGGTGCAAACGACTGAAATCTTTACTTAATGTATACTAAACTGATCCTCTGTAAA